GTTCCCATCCCGTCGCGACCCGCTTGGGCGCCCTTCTCGGGGGAGAGCAGCTCCCTCGGCTGCAGTGCTGTGCCCGGCTGGTGCGCCGCGGCCTGTGCCGCCTCACGTCGCCTCTCGTTCCTTCCGCAGATGAAAGAAACAATCATGAACCAGGAAAAACTCGCCAAGCTGCAGGCCCAAGTGCGCATCGGCGGCAAGGTAGGAGCCTCCTGCGCTGCTCGCGGCCCTCCCTCCAGCTGTGCTCTGTGCCAAGCCCTCGAAGGTGGACGGCTGTGGCCCTGAGGGCGCTTGGCCCCCCGGGATGGCCGGGCAGCCTGCTATGATATTTCCTTGCTACTTTGGGAGAAGCAGGAAGTCATGACAGAACGTCTAGCCCTTTCTATCCATGTTTACTGCCCTTATCTCTTAACAGGCTATGTTAGATGGTCCTTACAGTCCTAAGTAGAGCTTACAGCAAATGCATTTGGGTAGAGTTTTATTCTAAAAGCGTTGAGGGTTGTGTTCCAGACCCTAGTCCTTAATCCTTAAGGTGCCCGTGGGTATATTTTGCTGTTCAGGACAAGCTTGCAATTTCTCTTCTTGCCCCAATCTTAGCATTGTGGAATTGGAAGGCATGGCATGTTTCAAAGATCTCTTTATTTTGTTGCGACACCCAGACTTATGCAAATGTGTGATAATGCAGAAGTATCAAGTATTGCAAACATGGTCAGTCTTGTGCAAGTAAATGCTTAAGTTTCAGTTTGAGGTTTTAACAGCAAGAACTTGCTCATATGGATGGAACAAAGAGATATTTTTAGAATGAGACTATGCAACATATTTTTTTAATGATGGAGTTTCCAGTAGCTTTTGTTCATGAGTTGAGGTTTTTCCCTGTAGATAAGGCTGCCCAAGTCTCTTTAAGTCAGGTGTTACCCCAATATGCAGGATATGGGGTCTTGCTGAGCAGAAAACTGCTGCACCACACTAATGATTGCATGTGTGCTGTGTTGACTACAGAGCTTTTTAATGTTAGTCACTTGAAATTACGTGAAACCCAGATTACCCCCTTTTAAAAGCTGAAACTAAGTAAATTGCTCTCATGAGCACTTATAGGTCTTTTTGGAGACATTAAATGAAGTTTAGAATGTGTCAGCAATGCCATCATTAAGTTTTAAAAATAGTTTATGAAACTGATTATTTGAGCTTGAGTGTGGTTTGTAACTGGAAGTTGCTTCAAGGGTACTGCTGCTAGATCAGCTGAGGCAGTTGTTTTACTTTGGGAATGGAGAAGAAGGGAAAGATTCTCCTTATTGTGAGAAAAGGTTAAACTTTTGCTTCTGCTGGAAGATCCTCATGATATTGCAAGGCTGTAGGCCTTGAGAATACACTATATATTTATATAGGCAGATGAGTATTGTCATATTTTGTGAAACTTGAGAACTTTTTTTGTAGGATATTGCTGCAGCTAACTATCATGATTTTCCTTCCAAACCTTTTTAGAGGAGAACTTAGATGCATCTGTGTAGATTGTGTTGCATTCATAGCCTGCCTGTACCTGCTGTTCTTTAATACAGAGCTATGTAAATAGCATGCCTCAGCATGATCAGCATAGAATATGCTTACTATAACCTTAGAAGTTTAAATGCCTAAAGATGAAAACAGTAGCTATTAATTTCAACTAGATTCACATTATTTGAAGTTTGATACTTGTTCTTACACTGATGTAAAATGGGTACATTGCAATTGACTTGTATTGCAATGAAATGGTATATTGCAATTGACTTATGCAAGGCACCTATAAAGTCCTTCAAAAAATTCCTCTCCTGAGACTTCTGTAGTGTTTATCTGCCTCAGATCCTAGGTAGCCAAGGTTCTTAGGATATTTTTCTAGTTTTAGTAGTTTTCAAATTGCTTGCATGCTTGTCTGATGGTCAAGGGAATGAACATTAAGCTCTCCTTTAGTCCTTTAATTAGGATTAAAGTCCTAATATTGGAGTTGTGCTCATCCAAGTGTTAGTTTCACCTAAATTTGTCTACTAACATTTGTCTTCATTTGTAATTGAACTGTGTTAGGAGTATTGGTGTCTGAGCAGCTTTTTAATTTCTATCAGTTCACTCAGGGTATTGTAG